CCAACAAATTTGACCATTTGACCTTTAACCCTGAGTTTGTTCTACCTTAAACATTGATAACCTTTGTCATAACCTTTGAACAGTTGGTGCTAGGGTTTTATATTTCACATTTGTATATCTTTTGAAAAGGTCTAACTTTTGGTACCAACATTTTCGATCTCCATTTGAGAAAGCTTAAATCTTGCCATATTGCTATACAGGCGCATCTTTGTTTCACAAATACATTTCGTTTTTAATTCATTATTTTCCATGTATGTTAGATATAGGGTTAGATGGTTTTTTTTTAACTTTGTGAGAGTGCTAGAATCATCAAACGCGGTCCAAAACTCGTAGCAATCTTAATACAATAAATGTTCTTTAACACAATCTATAGTATACTTGTCTTAATTAACGAATATATATATTTCAGTCTGTTTCCAAGTCCCTTTAATAGGCATACATCTTATCATATTTTTTCTGTCGAATAAAAATTGAAAGAATAAGATCTTCATACATTTACCTTATATATTCATCGTCCTAAACAAAAACAATTTAAATTCTACCTCTTACCTTATTTGTTATAAAACTTTTCTAATTTAAACGAGACAAATAAAAATCATTTGAAGAAAGGTTCTTAAATGCAACATAACAAATAGCATTGATAAATAATTGATCTTTCATTACAGAGAAACCAGCAGCATGGCTTCTGAACCAAACCCTGGCAAACGTTCTAGGTTTGCTAAACTCGAAATGGCCATAAACGAAGAATTAACACAGGCGTTTAGAGATCTCTTAGAAATTGAGGTCCCCTCCGGACTTGTTTATAGCAAAATTAAGTCATCAGCGATTTATAACAGAATACTTCCCGAGCAAGAACATCGTCTTAGAAATGCTAAAACAGACGGTTATAAAGAATTTGATATTACGTTGTTATATACAGTGATAAGAAGCATATGTAAAAGGATTCCTCGTCCAACAAAAGGTTGGGGTGGAAACACGATGCCGTCAGTAGGTGAAATAACGATTGGTGATGACATTGAAAGGATTAGGTTGATAAAATACAGCATGTTTGGACACATCAGCTCGGCTTCTTTCTCACAGACAGAGTTTGATGACACGTGGTCAATCATAACTGATGTCTGCAAAAGACTACAAACGTATACAAAGAAAGACTATTTATCTGGACTGAGTAAAATTCAAAGTCAGGCCGAGGAAGAGGAAAACGAAAACGCTGTCATCAAAAACTTTGAAGAGGAATATCAACATTCCAAAAGTTTAATGGATAATTTGTCGTCTTTCGAATTTTTCCAAAAAGGTTATTTTTTAAAATTTATGGCACACTGTTTTGTTTTAAAAATGACATTTCAACGGCGTAAATTTATGGCAAGTCATCAGAAAAATAATGTAAATATAAGAAATGAATTTAATGAATTTTTTGAAGATTCATGAGGTATATGAACTACAATGCTTCACGCCGGCATATTTATCATGAAGCGCTTACGCGCTTCATGAAATATGCCGGCGTGAAGCGTCGTAGTTCATAACCTCATGAATCTTCAAAAATTAAATTCATTTCTTAATTATGTACGTGACTTTTATATAGCTCGACTTGTTTCAGCAATCATTATATTTTTATAAGAAAAAGAAGTTTTTTAATATTATTTATAAAACGGGTTCTTTCTCTATTTTGCAAAGTTTTCTATAAAGTTCATCCATTATTAGCGTGTAACTTATTTTTTTTTTCCAGAGCAGGATAGACGTGTGCTTAATAAACATTGGGCCATATACAATTTACATCCAAAATACGGAAAAAATAAATGCGTGTTTTCCCCTATTTCATTTAAGAAAAATGCTCTTTAAAATTGATTTTATGAAATATTTCTGTATCTTAACTAACGCCCTGGTGTTACATATGCAAGAATTACGGCTGATTCAAATAATTGTGTCGTGAATCAGTTAATTAGATTGTTTCCTTATTTTTGCATTTTGCCATAAAACATAATATAAATACTACATTGTTCATAGCTAATGCGATTAGTTTTCATAGAAATATCTTACAGTGAAAGAAGAGACAAAATTATTTATTTCTGCCTCTTGTTGAAGAAACTTATTAAATTAAATTTTGTTTCTTAATTGTAAAAATTATAGTTTTAGCTTTTAAATATTGCGTATTACAAATTAATTTACATATTTTTCTAGACAGAGAATTATAAACATTCATCGAGGCGATGGTTTATCTTGACTTTTTCTATTAGAAACAGGTGTTCAGCTCTCACGAACACCAAGCTATATACACTTTAACTGGACATAAGCAAAGATAAAAAAATTGAGAAAAGGGAAAAAACTTGAGTGGATTTGTTATTATATTTTACCTTGCATACCAGAAACTGTATGGACGATCCGAATAAACACTCAGGAAAAAAATTCAGACTGTTATATTCCCATACAAAAATATTTTCATGTTAGGATCTAAAAAATGAAAATTTGCCCTATTTATCTCAAATTTACTAATACAATTTAAACGATTGGGCTTGTTTCCTCCTTGTGAAAGATTGTTATTCCCATTTAGATCTTTTTCTAAGCTTGCAAATCGTGTTTGTTTACGGTGGAATTGTAATATATACTATATCATTGCTAAATATTCATCAAGTTTGCAAAAAGTTTGTTAAAAAAATATTTTGAACAAAAAACTTTAAATCCACGTGTTTTATTTATTTCTCGGAGGTTCCACTAAATGCCGTCATATGATTGCTCAAAAGGTTTAGCACTCTGTTTATTCTTTGTATTCATAGCAATTCATGGTTATTGTTCTTGATTTCCATATTTGGAAATCGTCCAAACCTGAAATACTCAACGACACAACTGGTAAAGTGCGTATTTCAATTCGATTTCTACAAATTTATTTATTTTAATGCCATCTTTTTACGCCTTGGTGTAATGAATGAGGTGTCAAATTACCTTGCGGAAGGTACCCGGTATGATATCAGGTTTAAGCATGAGTTATCTTTGTTTAGATTTACTTTTTTATTCGAAAATAGATTAATTTAAAATTATTATGATAGGAAAACGTGAAATTTTAACACATAAAAAATAGGCTGATCATAAAATAAATGAATTCAATTAAAGAAAATTGAAAGGCCATTGAAATGTACTTGCTATCTAGTAGACTGAATGGTAACGGAAAGATTACGAAAGACTCCAAGAAAAGATCTTTTCAATAACCTTACAGTAATATGCCAGTGGGCATTCAATTACCATTGCGACTTTTAGCTATGATTTCATTATGTTAATGAAAAAACACGCTATGAGTAACACGAGTATATTTTATTTGTCTTGCAATCCATAATTTACATTTTCACTTTGTGTATAGACATTTATGGTCATTTACTTTAAAGCAAGATGATAACAAACGAAATTATCATTATTAATTAACAACTGGATATGATTTCCATTGGTTCAGTAGTAAATGGCTAGAAAGTTTAATTTAAAAGTGCTGTAAAATATTGCGACTAATTTAATTTATTTTCAATCCATGAATAATTAAATAATGCCCATGATTCGGAATACAAAATCAAGTTCCTACATGTACCAAAGTGTTCAAAAATAGTGCAAAAGGCACGTTAGGAAGTTGTAAAAGGCGTTATGCGCAGACTTTTGTGTAAACCATGTAGTTTTTAGTGCAATACGTTTCGTCTACACCATGTGGTTTGTCATGCAAACCATGTAGCGAGTGCGTACATGTACCGTTCGTTAAGCGAGCATGTGGTGTAGTGGCACGTTTCATGGCACAAAATCTCCATTATCATACGGAGATAACAAACAGTATTCAAGTTCATATGTCCATTTAAATGATAAGCAAGAGCATAGCCAACAGGAAACATCAGAAGTGGGATTAGGTGTCATGGAGGAGTCAGCCTCTCCTGCAAACCGGTCACACTCGCCGTGTGTTCCTTGTCAAAATCGGGAAATGAAGGCAAAATAGTTGACAATTCAGTGTGTAAAAAAGGGTCTAACAATAACAATAATTAAAGCCAGTCAGCATTTCACTTAATGATAAATTGTATTCGCTCTCAACTTCATTATATCGACCGTCCATAGAACTTACGAAATGATGTATTTACACGATGCGACTGAAATTTTTGTTTCTACAACTAGTTTGTCAATAGCTAACATTAACTTTTTCAGGAATTAACAATACTAAGATTCTCTTACAGAAAAAACACAAAAAGACGAAATTCTTGAAACTTGGATCGAAGAAGATGTTGACTTTGTTCCCACAAGAGCAAGTGCAGTCGTTGAAAAAATGCTAAAGCATACAAATTTTGTTACGGTGGCTGGAACTTTTGGATGCGGAAAATCAGCTCTCATTCAACACATTGCACTCAAGTATAAACTGCATGGGTGGAATGTTACACCACTGGAAAATGTGAAAGAAATTATAAGGATCTGCTCGACTGGAATCTCCAAAAAACTGCTTTTTGTTCTTAACGACCCTTTGGGTAAGGATTCTATAGATATAGTATTGTATAATTCATGGAAAATGTATAAGAAAATGCTAGAGATTTGTTTGAAGAAGGTAAAGGTAGTTGTGTCGTGTAGAAGACGGATTCTTTATGATAGGAGAGTGAAAGGAATTTTATTGGATAAATCCACAATAGTGGAAATTGACAACGAAGGAAATAGAATGACCGATGAAGAGAAAATAGCCATCCTTAACCAGTACAGGCAAAATCTGAAAATATCCGAAAATATTGTTTCTGAAATTATTAAAACAGAAGCTTTCTTCCCATTGCTTTGTAAGCTTTTCTTTAGGAATTTAGAGTACATGAAAAAGGGGGTTGATTTTTTCAGATGCGCATTCAACATTATCAAAAACGAAATTGAAATGTGGAAAGAAACAGATAGAACGAAATTTTGCGCTTTGATTTTAATCATAACCTTTAATAACAATCTAGATATCGATGGTATTAAAGGGTGCAAAAATTCAATGAAGAAATATAAAGACATTTTAGAAATGTTTGAGATACGCGAAAACACACATGGCTCAATTATTTTCAATGCTCTATATGAGCTCAAAAGTTCCTATGTCAAACGTGTCGGAAATTCTTTCCAATTTCTTCACGATTTTATTATGGAGATAACTACTCTGGTGTTTGGTGTTGATTGTCCAAAAGAGACAATACTGTACGCAGACAGTGGTTTTCTGAGACGTCGGATGAGAATAAAAGACGACACAGAAGAAGAAGATCGCGATCCCTTCACTGTTTACCTTCCTGAAGAGTACATTGATGATCTTGTAGACAGGTTTATCATTGACATGCAAACAGAACACATTGTAGATGTTCTACTCAATCCATGTTTAAGGAAAGAGAGTGTGATAAAATCTTTTAAGGAAAAGGCAGATATTCTAGGAACGCTTCTTGGAAAAGTTAAATATGAAATAGACAAGTCTGAATTTGCTAAATCATTTCAGGTCTCTGTTTTCACCAGGCTAACTTTCTTTGCCTTTCACGATGAAAGATGTCCTTTAATGGGACTTATCTTATTTTGCCATAATGATATTTCAACATTTCTCTTAAAAAATATCCCAGAAGCGAAGTTGAAGGAATATTCTTTATTTTATGCACTTTGTGCGAATGGTGATTTAAGCCTAATAAATTATCTTCAAAATGAATATAAAAAACCAGCAATGATGGGAATTTGGAGTGATTTTTCACCAATTCACATTGCCTCTGTATTTCATAACTTTACAGTGATTCATGAACTAGTTAAGCTTGGAGCTGATGTAAACGAATTTACAACTGCAAATAAGTGGTGTCCATTATTATTGGCTGCCGGAAATGAAGAGGAACACTTAAAGGAGGCTGGAATGGATACAGAAGATGCGGAAAGACGTAATTCAACTATTCGTTGCTTATTAAACAATGATGCCAATATCAATTCATGTGACAGTAATGGGGTTACCTCTCTTATTTTAGCCTGTCAAAATGGATATTACAGTACCGTACAACTGTTACTGGAGAACGGTGCAGACATAAATTTATGTGAGAAGAATGGAGCAAGTCCATTTTATATAGCTTCTCAAAATGGACATTATAGCACGGTGCAACTGTTACTGGAAAGCGGTGCTGACATCAATTTATTGGAAAAGAATGGAACCAGTCCTCTTGATATAATTTGTAAAAATGGACATGCTAAAACTTTACAACTATTACTAAACAACGGTGCCGATATCAATGTTTTGAAAAAGAATAAAGACAGTCCTCTTTTTATAGCTTGTCAAAATGGACATGACAGCACTGTACAGACGTTATTGCACAACGGTGCCGACGTCAATTTATGTAACAAAGTTAAAAAGAGTCCTCTTTATATAGCTTGTGCAAATGGACATGACAGCGTTGTACAAATATTACTAGACAACGGTGCCGAGATCAATTTATGTGAGAAAGTTGGTGCTAATCCTCTTCATATAGCTTGTGCAAATGGACATTATAGCACGGTTCAATTGTTACTTAATAATGATGCCGACATCAATTTATGTAACAAGTTTGGAGAGAGTCCACTTTACATAGCTTGTCAAAATGGACTTGAAAACATAGTACAAGTGCTAATTAACAACACTGTCGATGTCAATTCTTGTGATAATAATGGAAATAGTCCTCTTCATATACTTTGTTTAAATGGAATTGAAAGCATAATACAACTGTTAATTAATAACAGTGCAGACAGCAACTCGTGTAACAACAATGGAGTCAGCCCTCTATACACAGCTTGTTATGAAGGACATGATATCATACTACAACTCTTACTGAACAACGGTGCCGACATCAATTTATGTGATAATGATGGAATCAGTCCTCTATTTATAGCTTGTGAAAATGGACATGATAGCGCGGTACAACTTTTACTTAACAATGGTGCCGACATAAATTTATGTAAGAAGAATGGCGTCAGTCCTCTTTACACAGCTTGTTCTAATGGACATGATAGCACAGTACAACTGTTGCTGAACAATCATGCCGACCTAAATTTATCTAACAAGTATGGAGCCAGTCCTCTTTATACAGCTTGTCAAAATGGACATAATAGCACGGTACAATTGTTACTGAACAACGGTGCCGAAATCAATTTATGTGATAATGATGGAGCCAGTCCTTTTTATATCGCTTGTCTAAATAAACACGACAGCACGTTAAAATTGTTGCTGAACAACGGTGCTGACATCAATTTATGTGATAATAATGGAAACAGTCCTCTTTATATAGCTAGTAAAAATGGCCATCATAGAACGGCACAACTTTTGCTGAAAAAGAATGCCGACATCGATTTATATAACAGGATCGGAGAAACTCCTCTTTTGATAGCTTGTTCAAATGGACATGAAGAAACGGTACAGTTGTTGCTTAACAATCATGCCGACGTCAATTTATGTAACACGTATGGAGCCAGTCCTCTTTATATAGCTTGTCAAAATGGACATAGAAGCACTTTTCAACTGTTACTAAACAACGGTGCCGACATCAATCTATGTGATAATGATGGAACTAGTCCTCTTCATATAGCTTGTGCAAATGAACATATTAACATGGTACAACTTTTACTGGACACAGGAGCCGACATCAACCTATGTAACAACGATGGAAAAAGTCCTCTTTATATGACTTGTGAAAATGGACTTGAAGAAGAGACAGAACATAAAGTGATTCATTGCAATGATGCAGACATCTATATATATGATTATTATGATGATGATGACAGTTCTTTTAATGAGGCTTATGACGGAATTTATAGCATGATACAACAATTACTCAATAACGGTGCGAACATAAACTTATGTGATAATGAAGGAAATAGTCCTCTTTTGATAGCTTGCCGAGAGGGATATGATAGATCATTACAAATTTTACTGTACAACAGTGTTGACATCAATTTATGTAACAACGATGGAGCAAGTCCTCTTTATATAGCTTGTCAAAATGGAAATGATGGCACGGTACAACTGTTACTGAACAACGGTGCCGACATCAATTCATGTGATAATTATGGATTCAGTCCTCTAAGTATAGCTTGTGCAAATGGACATGATAGTACTGTGCTATTGTTATTTAACAATGGTGCTAAGTTCAATTTATATACAAATGAGGGAGCAAGTCCTTTTTATATAGCTTGTCAATATGGACATAATAGTACGGTACAATTGTTACTGAACAACGGAGCCGACATCAATTCATGTGATAATTATGGATTCAGTCCTCTTAGTATAGCGTGTGTTAATGGACATGTTAGTACTGTGCAATTCTTACTGGAAAATGGTGCCGATATCAATTTATGTAACAAGAATGGAGCCAGTCCTCTTTATATAGCTTGTCAAAATGGAAATGATAGCACGGTACAACTGTTACTGAACAACGGTGCCGACATCAATTTATGCAACAAAAATGGAACCAGTCCTCTTTTGATAAGCTGTGTAAATGGCCATAATAGCACAGTACAACTGTTGCTAAAGAACGATGCCGACATAAATTTATGTGAAAATGAGGGATTCAGTCCATTTTTTGTGGCCTGTCAAGAGGGACATGATAGCATTGTGCAGCAGTTATTGAAGAAGGGTGCTGACATGAACTTATGTAACAATAACTGTTTCAGTCCTCTTCATATAGCGTGTGTAAATGGACATGTTAGTACTGTGCAATTCTTACTGGAAAATGGTGCCGATATCAATTTATGTAACAAGAATGGAGCCAGTCCTCTTTATATAGCTTGTCAAAATGGAAATGATAGCACGGTACAACTATTACTAAACAGCGGTGCCGACATCAATTTGTGCAACAAAAATGGAACCAGTCCTCTTTTGATAAGCTGTGTAAATGGCCATAATAGCACAGTACAACTGTTACTGAAGAACGATGCCGACATCAATTTATGTGAAAATGAGGGATTCAGTCCATTTTTTGTAGCTTGTCAAGAGGGACATGATAGCATTGGGCAACAGTTATTGAAGAAGGGTGTTGACATCAACTTATGTAACAAGAACTTTTTCAGTCCTCTTCATGTAGCTTGTTCAAACGGACATGATAGTACTGTGCAATTGTTACTGGACAATAATGCCGACATCAATTTATATGATGATAATGGAGCTAATCCTCTTTACATAGCTTGTCAAAATGGACACAATAACATAGTACAATTCTTATTGAACAACGGTGCCGACATTAATTTATGTGATAATGATGGATCCAGTCCTCTTTTTATAGCTTGTCAAAATGGACATGATAGCACGGTACAACTGTTACTAAACAACGGTGCAGACATCAATTTATGTGATGACGAGGGATCCAGTCCTCTAAATATAGCTGGCATAAATGGACAGGATAGTACTGTACAAATGTTAATGAAATACGGTGCTGAAATCAATTTATGTAACAAGGATGGTGCTAGTCCTCTTTATAAAGCTTGTAAATATGGACATAATAGCACAGTGCAACTGTTGCTTAACAACGGTGCCGACATCAATTTATGTAAAAATAATGGAATCAGTCCTCTTTCAATAGGTTGTGAAAATGGAAATCACAGCACGGTACAAATGCTACTAAGAAATGATGCTAACATCAATTTATGTGATGATGAGAGAATCAGTCCTCTTGATGTAGCTTGTCGAAATGGACATGAGAACACAGTACAACTGTTACTGAGCAACGGTGCCGACATCAATTTATGTGATAATGAAGGATCCAGTCCATTATATTCAGCTTGTTATAATGGACATGATAACATAGTACAGCTGTTACTTAGGAACGGAGCCGACATCAATTTACCTTCAAACGATAGAGTTAGTCCTCTGTGGATAGCTTGTCGAAATGGACATGATAGCACGGTACAACTGTTACTGAACAACGGGGCCGACATCAATTTATGTGAAAAGAATGGAGCCAGTCCTCTCTTTATAGCTAGTCAAACTGGACATGATAGCACGGTGCAACTTTTATTGAACAACGGGGCTGAAGTTAATCTATGTGAAAAATATGGAGCCAGTCCTCTTCATATAGCTTGTCAAAATGGACATGAAAGCACGGTACAACTGTTACTGAACAACGGTGCCAACATCAATTTATGTGAGAATGATGGAACCAGTCCTCTTTATATAGCTCGTCAGAACGGACATGACAGAGTCGCACAACTGCTATTGAACAATCGTGCTGACATTAATACTTGTAACAAGAATGGGCACATTGCTGATGTTAGCTAAAAATGGGCATGACAGTACAAGAATTGATAGTTGACACAAATTTGTCATACAACTCGTCCAAGAATATCAGTATTATTTTACCTTCTTGTCCTTAATCAAAGCAAATCCGAGTAATTTAATTTAACCAATGTAATCGTTTGATTTTCTAATGGGGAAATCTTATACATACAATTGTATTAAAATTTGTCTTGTGAAATGTTAAATATATAGATTTACTTGAATTGCATTTATTTAGTCAGAAAAATATGTTACATGCGTATACTTGAATAGTATATTTATTATTTAGGAAATGTGTTATATGCATATAATTAAAATTTTAAATAATGCTTTAGAAAAAAAGGAATATGAATTACTTTTTTTTGAAAAGTTTCATGCACATGTATTTGCTATGTCATATCTACTAGGCCTATTATTTTGTGAATCACGAATCTATTGTTCAATGGTGCAAGAAGGATATGGGTATAACGAAGAGTATTCAATCTCAAAGTCTATCGAAGTCCATAAAACAATACAAAACAGGAGCAGAGCAAACAAGGACCTCTGATACATCAGAGGTGGGATCAGGTGCCATGGAAGAGTAAGCATCCCCTGCTGAACGGTCACACCCGCCGTGTGCTCCTTGCCAGTTTCAGGGAGCAAAAGTTATGATCTAGGTGCATATCTACACTATAAAATAGTAGTTGTTGTCCTGCACTTTATATGTCAAAACAAATTTTAAAAAATATATATTTTAACAAATGGAATTAAAAATGTCATTAATGCTCTATAAATTCCAGAAAACCATGAATGATGTTTACTTTATGGTTTTATACCTATATCTATGGTTGTAACAAAATGAAGCGATATTTTGTTATTGTACTTGAAAATGTTAAATGTGATCGTCAGATGTAATTGTTCACAAGGGCTTTCAAGAGCAAAGGGGCGTGTAAACGGCTGTAAATTTTAACAAAAGACTGTTTATATTGGTGCTGTAAATGTTTGTGCTTTAATTCATTTTAAATTGTATTATGTTATTTTATCGTATACTAAATAAAAGCGAGTAAACTGAAAATTTGTTTGATTTAAAAAAGGATGGAAAAGGATGCTATGTTCTGACCAAAATATAAATAACTGTCTGAGTGATCATATTATATAAGAGATAACGAACAGCACGAAAGCTCAAAAGTTCACAACACAATACAACACAGGAGCAAAGCAAACAATGGCCTCTAAAACATCAATGGTGGGATCGGGTACCATGGAGGATTGAGCATACCCTGCCGACCGGTCACAACCACAATAATTTGAGACACTTGAAGGGGACGAAATGTTCAGACCAGATTATAGAGAACTATTCAAAGGATCATGTTATTTAAATAGATAACGAACTATAGATATACTAAAAGCTCAAGAGTTGATTAAGATACGGATCAGGAGAAGACAAACACAAATCTCTTAGCGATACATGCTCGGTGTTTAAAATGAAGAATATGGAGATAACGAACAGTATTTAAGATCAAAAGTCCATATAGCAATACAATATAGGAGTAGAACAGACACCGACCTACAAAACACCAGGGTTGGGCTCATGTGCCATGGATGAGTGAACATCCCCTGACGAACGGAAACACCCACTGTGTGTTCTTTGTCATGATAGAAAAATAACCAAAATATTCCAAGACAATTCAGTTTGTAAACAAGGGTCTCACAATTAATACGAAAAACGCCACTCAGCATTTGACCTAAAGATACAATTTATATGCTGACAAGGTCATTGAAAAATAATTCATAATTGAGTCAAATACTGACTGACTTTTTCCATACTTATTGTTAGTTCATTATTTATACAATGAAATGACGATGGATTTTTCCTTTATTTCCCGATCACGACAATGAGCACACGGCGGGTGTTATCGGTCAGCAGAGGATGCTCACTCCTCCATGACACCTGATCTCACCTCTGATGTTTCGGAGGTCCGTGTTTGCTCTGCTCCTATATTTTGTATTATTTTATGGACTTTGATATTGAATACTGTTCGTTATCTCCATATCCTTCCATAGAACATACACAATAAAAACTTTAAACGAGACAGCAAATATTTTTGTTTCATTTTCTTGTTTGTCAATAACTTACCTCGTTTTAGAAATTCGTCATACGCACAGCATACACTTACGTATCAAATCAACCGAGATACATAAACTCCATATGCAGATGAGAAAGATTTATAGTTGCATGAGTAAGGGAATTCTACGATTTAGAAGTTAAAGCAATCACGTTTATTTTAAAACTTTGTCGAAAGATTACCATTATCGTCTTTTTCTGGTAAAAATCCAAATATGAAACAGATGGGTCATACTTTTTGAGATCTTTTACTTCAAGTTCAATCTATAATTAAACCCTAGTTCCTCTAAGATACAATTTAAATATTGAGACTTTAAAAGCTCACTGTTTACTTGCTTTATAAATGCCTTCTCTGAATTCTGTAAATATCATGGATTCTTTAGAAGTCTACGCCAGACAATGGGCCTGGCATGAAAAAAAGACCTTGACACTTTGTTAGAATGGAATAAATATATCAGATGAATGCTAAGCTCGCGCATTAAAGACATACGCATTGCACCTTAACAACTAATATTTTTTCCAAGATATTTCCAAATAAAGATCATAGTGTCATCAGATGTTAGTAGACAAACAATCAGCATGAATAATCCAGAGTTTTGAAAAGATATCAATTGATGGAAATTCTGGTATAATTAAAAAAATAATAAACATATAATTATTCTAGATGTTTTATTTATACAAAAGTGTTTCAGAAGAAGGGTACAACAGCATATATCAACATTTAATTGTATTACACACTTCCTTTAAGTATTGGGACTCTTCAACTCAAAGGAAACCTTTGCGTATGTCCTGAAGCAATGTAAGGGCTTAAACGAATATCTTTTATTCTGTAATTAATAATTCGGAAGGAAAAAAAAAGATTGGATACAAATTCAGTATATACTTATTACTCTCCCTGATACCGAAGCTATGGTGGCATTTGCCATCCACATAATTTTTGTCAACATAGCATATCATGGCAAGTCAAGATAACTATCTCGTCAAGTCATGAAAAATTTCTGGCTTGTCAACAAACACCGATTTTATATCTTGTCCAGTAAAGATAAGCTATCACATTTAGTTGCAATAACTATATTGACATGACGAGATAACTTTTAGTCACGATACAAGATAAATTATCTCTTCTTGTCGAGATAGCTATCGCAAAAATACGATAGCTTATCTCGACTGTACAAGATAAGAGTCGCTGTTTGACGGCAAACCAGGATGTTTTCATGACCTTAGAAGATAATTATCTTGATTTAACATTATATGCTATAATGACAAAAATATGTTGTAACAGGGGGTGGTAATGAAGAACACAAACACGCCTCTGTCAGGGTTCAGGTCTTATTTATTTGACACAGTGAGCACTTTATGTTATACAAATGTTATAGCCCTGAAATATAATAAAACAACAATATAATAGCACATCAAATCAATCATCAATCATTTATACACGTAGTTCTCATAGTTAACATATCCATAATGATATATATTATAGATGATAGGTATATATGTACATTTACTATCAATTAAAGGAGATAACTCTTATAGTGAATATATAGACATTACATATTTTCTCCCATATAAAGGCATAAACAGTAATACTAGTTAAAACAAATAATTTCTCACCATTCTGTGGGAAAAGGCTACCACATGAATGTGTGATGTTGCAATGACATGTATATGGACTTTGTAATTTAATACAATATACATTTAAATATACATTCCTTTAAAATAAAATCATCTGTTCACTTTGAACAAAGTAACCAAATATCTGGGTCATAAAAATATATGGTGCAACTTGAATATAACAATTTACTCTTATAATATAATACATTACTTATCTTTATAATCAATAATTCCAATCATAAAAATAACATCTTTCTCTCAAGGTTATTCATTTAATTAATATGAAGTGAAATTGGGATCTTTAATAAATGCAAATCTATGGAATAGACATATCACTTGACAATTAGTAATAAGGAAAGTTAGTACTTACCAGAATATGGAATTTGTCAGTCTCCAAAGGTCAAAGTCATAGGAATCCATAAAATACAGTCTTGGTCATTTCTCAACAAGACAAAGAATGAATATTTTGGCGGTAAAACCAATGACCAAAAGAATAAAACCAATGAAATCCAACTTCACAATCAAAACTACCTACCGTAAATCTGGAAATTTTTACTGTAGATAAATTTTTAGCAAATTTGCGCGTGCATTGCATTCGCAAAAATATTTTTCTTAAAAATAAATCAACATGCGAAGAATTTTCTTCTGAGAACTCATGTCTTTTTTTTAACTCCGTGAAAAGGCGTCGATAAGCACTGGTCATTTTAAAAAAAAACCTGTTTACACTAGTCTGCTATATAACTACAAGTTAATTACCCGTGCGTGTAAATTGCCCTCATTATATGCAATATCGTCCGATGATTTGACCAGCACTGAGGCGGTATGCCCCTTTTTATTAATTATTTTCATCAATTAATTTGCCAATAAACTCAAACTCAGTGCATTTACTAGAAAGTTCCAAATGTAAACGCGGCGTGTAAATTTTGGTTGAGAAAAAAACAAACGTTGAGACATAAGTTATATTTTTATCTACATTTGGATTAATATTTAGGTTAAGAGGCATACACAACCCTAAAAATGTTTGTTATAATTGACTTAGAAATTATTTTCAGTGCAAATCCTTTTGGATTTTTATCAAAAGTATTTCAGAGCGATTTTGCAATTTCTTGCCACGTTGCGAGTGTATTGGTGGTATTCTAACTGGGTATATTATTTGAAACATAACCTGATATGAAAATCTTTAGTGATTTTTATTTTTAGCACCATTGACAATTCGCAAAAATTTGAAGCGTAAAAATTAATCAACAGCTTTTTGACCCAAATTCGCAAAAATAAATCGACGTAAAAATTTCCAGATTTACGGTATAAGAATCAATAACACTCCAAAACCTTTGAACTGCCCTAAGGTAACTAATTATCTATACACAGGTGTACAGGTAAAGGGCTAAGGATATAAAGGAGCGGATTAAGCTTTTTATACTTTTATCTGTTATGGTAGTTTAATTAATTTACATTAAATTTAAAACACTTATTTATTATGTACGCATATTATACACACTACTACAATGGTATAAATCCCACCATACTAAGCAGATAAAAAACATTGTCTTCATTAGATACGATGCATTTTGAGGAACGTTGATTTAACTCTACAAGTGGTAATCCTACTTACACTCTTGGCTTCATTTCAAAAGAGGACGTTCTACAAAATCATGTTTCAGGTATAAATATGTTTAATATTTTCAACAACCAAAATAATTTGAGATACCATATCTTTTTTAGATATGGACACTTCATTAACTCCATTCAAATACAGAAACAATAGGTTCTAGTAATATTCTTCCAGCACATAGCATACAAGCTGATTTTTACCATTCCTTCTTTCCTCAAAAATCCAACTGGCTTGTTATATTTGTTAAGTTCATATCAGCACCAAGCTAACAAATTCTGAAATTCATATTTATATGCAAACCTTTACTGACTGTTATGTCTCCATATTTGTCAGTTTATTCAAGTATCAACTAATATATGATCAAATTGTCATTTCTCTAATTAAAGAAAATACAACAGGTTATTGAATATTGAGTAAATATAATATCACCTCACTCTGTGGTCATTTAGAAACATTTCTGAAGAAAAACATAGGGCAATGAATGAAGATTAAACAGCTTTCATCATGATTACTATAGTTGTGTACATGAGGGGGTGGGGGTAGAGAAGCTATATCATTCTTCACATTCAAGGAAAAAGAAATCTAACAATTATCCGGTTTTCTTTAACTATCACAAGATATCAAGTCCTTTGAAAATGAATTGTATAATTTGTCATTAAAATTTTCTAGAAAGAGATAAGGGTGAGGTCTTTTCTAAAGGAAGGTGTTTATGAACTTAACAATATTTTTATGCACTTATCTAAAAAGAACCTGTCCGGTTTTTTTTCTTTTGACTCCGAAATACTGGAAACAGATTACATGTTATTAATTTCTAATACTTATTATACATTCAATCTGATGGTTAAGAGCAAATCCGGCACGGGTAGACAATTCGTGTCCCACACAAGCAGAGTGACAACTGTGTTTTTCATTTTAGAAAAAGTTGATATCGTAAGAGAGCTAACTCCTATATTTATAATTATATTACTTATGCGCAGGACTGGTAAACAATTAATTATAACAATGACGCTGGAGTGCTAGTTGTCTGTTATCATATTTCGAAAGTATTGAATCGGAACAGTAAGTACAAGAACACAATATATTTTCTAATCTACCTCATTAATGATCTAGATTATTGAGGATACACATGTTACAGAACTTTTTAAAAGGAAAGATTTTGTGTGACAACCTTAACCTTACTCAGATATGATTATTGGTTATGTCTTCCATTTAAACAGTCATTAATTGTATTTTGACAAAGACAAATTAAAAAAAATAAGAATAAATGTTCATACATATAATTTTATTTTTTGAATTATTTTCAAGCAGGAATCTTAAAATATCGTGTTGAATGTAACATAGTACTGAAAAGTGTTAGTTTGAAACTAAATATATAAACCAAAACTGTACTGAAATTTCAAATTCTTTTGTAATTTTCTAGATATGTCAAGCAACCAGTTTCCTTGTTATGTGAAGAAAAGTACTAATCTTTGCAAAACTAGATGAATTTGCATTCTATTTGTTTAAAAACACCGTTGCAAACGAACCAGAAACTAGCTTTTTTGCAAAGTAAAAGTAGTTACTTTTAAAGCACATGTTTTAATGTTCATGATAAGGACCGAAGCAATTTTTTTTGGAAATTGTCAGCTTTGACATAATGACAACACAATATCCTCAGCATATTTACTGCACTTGTAAACTCACAGATATAACTTGACTTCAAATTCACAGATAAAACTTGACCTCAGACTCACACATGTCTTTAAATAGTTCTTCAATGTCTGACATATTTTCGGGAGAAAATTTTTGACAGAATTGATCCATTTCTGAAACACATCTTTCCTCCAAACTTCTCATGAACTGAACTAAATCCTCCCCTTTCTGTGTTCCGCTGGACATAAATTCCCGCGCTTTCTCGTGATATTTATACAGGATGTGACGTTTGTCATTATTTGAAAGAGACTGAGTTGTATCACCTATGTTAACATTGTGAGAAAACAGAAAAGGTTTAAATACAGATAAACTTGGATCAGGTGTAGCAGTGAACCAATGACAGTCCGGTAATCCAGCAGACGACAAGACAGACACGTGACTTCCGGTTGTTATCAGGTGACCGTTCATATTGATTCCGCTTGTTTTATTTCTCAAAATGTCAAACATGTTCATCACAGAAAATGATCCTGTAACAGAATGAACTCGCTAAATATATATGTATATGCAAGTATTAAATAAATAAGAGATACTTTTTTTTCATTTTCCATGTTAGAAAACGGTATACAGAGTTTAGGTATTAAGAGAAGGAACTTAATTTTTTTGATTAATTATATTGGTTGAAATGATACTCAACTAATTGCAGATAATTTGCTTGTGATCTAATTTTTGTAAGCCTTAACAAAGAGCTAGGTTCACTTAATGCATAAAATGGCCCTGTACTTTTAGCAAGTAATAAACTTTTGCACTCCTTTCCATTTCATATATTAAAAAAAAAAGATACTTAATGCTTTCATTTCTTAGAATAAAATTTCGTTTTGAGAATCCAGATATTGGAAAACAGGCGTTGAGGAATTGCAAAGTTCTTGAAATTTGCAGAAAACATGCATATTTGACTACATTCAGCAAAGAATTAAAATATGAGCACTACCCACGATCCAAAATGACGCATTCTGTCATGTCATAATGCATTAACTAGATGGAAAATTACGTCATGAGTAATAGGTATGTGGTCACCAATACTCCAAGCAATAAATACTGCATTTGCACTCTAAACTCAGCTGTTTTGATTTTACAGAAATTTTCAGGACCAAATAAGACCCAAAGCGGCTCTTGCTCTTTACAAAATTTTATTATTAGAAGAATCGACAAAACGAACAAAATTGTAAATGTTGAAACCGATATTTTAATTTTCTACAACGATTTTTAAAATTGCTTTTAAATTTTCAACTGTTCATAAGTAATGCTGTTTTTAGCTTTTAAACTTTAGTAGTTATTTCATTGAAAGTAATGAAAAAAATAAGTTGATAATATAAAGAGAATGAAAATAGAAATAATACACAAGACAAAAACCTTGATCTGCGCTGTTATTCAGAAGATCACATCCTGTCCTGCGCCGTGTTACCGGATCTACACAACCGAGACTTGTGGTAAATTCTGCTCCAAAAGCCAACGTAAAATCTACAGGGCCCTTTTCTTGAGACCAGTGTCCTAATGCCACACTTTCTTCTTGTAAATTTGATGACGTCAGGTCATATTCCGTAGAAATGGACAGACAACTTGATATACTGTACGCACCTTCTGAAAAAAATGTTTACGTTTTAATGTTACTGGACATTCAATCAGATGATTTTATATTTGATTTGAACATATTTTATTATGTAAAATACATAAATGGATTGGGCAGCAGGCATAGATGATTTTATGATTGACATTTAATATTTAATGATTTTTATATCTTTATAGAATCATGACCTTTACCAGTTATTTGTTTTGCGACCCAGAATTTTCCGGCACATTCCACAACCCAAGCCTCGTTTCTATCTGTGATGAGGAAAGCCCCGCAGTAAAGTAATGGATTCTGAGAGTCTAACGTCCCACCTTGTCCATACTGGTCAACCAATGACGTTATAACGTCCATGCCCTTCTTAGCTGAGCTAGATCTCTCTAAAATCAACCTGAAATATGTTCTAGGTCATTAAATTGTGACCATTATTTTTTTTTATAAATGAGGCTATACATAAATTAAAATAAATCCATGTTACAATGATCTCATACATGTAGCAAGCATAATAATAATCACCTTTATTTAATTAAATGTACATTAATGGGAAGAAATAACCCTAACCCTACCACCAGTGTGCAAAATCAGGTAACCTGGTTGCCATGGAAACAAGACCAATTAATTGATCACTTTTGATAATATTTTTGTAAATAGGGCTTATAATGTAATTATTTTACCAAGTTTCAGCAAAATCCGTGATTTTCAATTTCAAGCCCATTTTGATGCTTACAAGAATGACTTTTCCCTCTCCTTCAGACCCATTGAACATCAGTCATTCACTGCACAATCAGGCTCCAACAGATTTGGGATATATAGTCCAATATACTTACAAAAAAACGCACAAAAGGTTGTGCCCAGTTAGTTTTTTTAATTTTTTTTTTGGTACAATCTTTACATCAATAGCTAACAGAAATATCACGTTTAGGTAGCCCATGCACAATTCTGTTAAATCTCTGTTAGCTACGGACCTGTAATTACCACTTGTAGGCTGTCAAATAACCTGTTATACCCCCTGACGACCTATGAAAAATCTGATTACCCTCACTTCAATCCTTAACTAAGTTATATATACATTATACATTGAACCACCCGAAAAGGTTACCTTGTCAGGTCTGATGGAGTGAGGACTTTGCTTGTTGTGCCCGAAAGTTTTGTAAAGACGGAAGTGTATCCTGCGCAGACTCCCTGATCGTTGGCGCCCATTTCCGCTCCCCATGATCCCACAGACTGACTGAGAATAACAGCATAGGTGTGTGGAGGTTGTTCTATCTCTAAATGTGTGGTCTAACAAAAAATGCAGAGCAGTGCACTAATCCTACTAATAATTATAATAGATGAGAAATTTCTTTTTATTTCTTTCACAGATTTCTATGTAAAACAAGAGGCCCATGGGCTTTATAGTAAACATGAGTATATAATGCAACAACATTCCAGCGACTGCATTTGGTTCCTGTTTTAAACCAGAGGCCATTAAATTCACAGTTTTGAACGAGGCGCTATTGTTTATCAAACTATACACTTGGCATGCTTTCTCTTATTATTTGATATATACTCAGAAGTAGATCAGAGTAGCAAAAATATGCATTTCCACTTTATAACCTGTTGTGCACCCCACCACAAAGGAACCACTGACCCTGGGGACACAATTATTCATAAAGACGTCTTCGCTTATCATAAACTGTTGGATATCAAAGAGCAAATTAAAAAAAAACAATTACATATATTTTCAGAATAACCCCCCTCTCCCAATACACATGACCGAAAGGCCCTGAAATTAATCATTTTGGAAGAGGCACCTTTCCATATCCTTCTCACAAAGAGATTTATATGCATATTAATCCTCCTTAGCTCCTGGCCTATCGTTTGGCGAAATTTACATTCCGATAGAATGACCAAGAAATCAGCTCAACTGACTTTCAAAGATTTATCCAAGAGAAAGCAAATAGAAATTAGAATATTTATTAATCACGGAGTTAACTTTGTGCTTTTTTGGGGTGGGGGTGGAGGGGGGGACGGAGGATGATTCCTAAAAACATTAGAATAAAAATGTAATCATGATAGAAGATCTAATTAAATTTTGTTGATGATCAGGTGAAATCCAGGAATTGAAGTATTTCCTCTTGATGATACTTCAATTAATATACATGTACCTAGTTCATGTACGATCAAAATCATTAAATTTAGATAATTTGATTTCCACTCACTTAATCTGAGTGACTGCATTTTAAATCAGAAGGGGACCCTGAGCTAACAAAGGTCACGTACCGTATTTACCGACATCATTGAAACTAGACTGTTTGCGTTAATTTTCAATGCTTCCATTCTTATTTGTTTACTCTGTGGTGACTCTATGAATGTTTAGTAAATTTATTTCTTGTCAATTCTGCCGAAATGTATTTTATTTTTGCCAAGTGAAATGCCATGAGCGAATTGAAGTAGGACAGACAGCTGATATGCATGAAAACCTCGTGTGGCTGTCTTTGTGTCTTTTTTCATTTTTCATACCAATTGTTAGTCCATTATTAATACACTGAATTGACGACAGATTTTTTTTCGTTATTTCCTGATCATAGCAGGGGATGCTCACTCCTCCATGGCACCTGATCCCACCTCTGTTTCGGAGGTCCGTGTTTGCTCTGCTCTTATTTTGTATGTTGTTTAATGGACTTTGAGATTGAATACTGTTCGTTATCTCTATATCCTTCTTCAGCGGGCTGGGACTTTTGAAATTGATATGGAAGGCCTATGTAATTTGAAGGTATTATAGAAAATATTTTTTAAATCTAACTTTACATTTTTTTTTACATTGAATTTGAAATAAAGAATCGTGTCTTTGTTGGGTATGCCTGAGACATCAACGATAGTTGGGAATGTGCATGGGATAACATATATAATGGGCTTCGCCCGTTATGCAAATTATATACGAAATTATACATATATGTAATAAATATTACATGTGCTTATTGACAATAAAAATGAAAATAGATGATCGAGGCTGGATGCATTTAGATATTATGTAGTTTATTAATTGTTCTTTTTTTTTAAATAAACCTTGACTTTACTTCCGGTTGTATGGTCTGCAGCAGCGCAGTAGATCACTTGCTGTACGTCCGTTGGCGGTAAGTTGGCATTTTTACCGAATATAACACAGTTCTTTGTTATGGGTGGGAGGGCGACAAAAACATCTGACATCTTATGCTGTAATTAAAGTAATATCATTAATTTGAATTCTTTAATATTTACGAAATAATTTTAATACATGTAGGCGTAATCACAACTTAATTTCTATTCAGTGTAATATTCATGTAAAAGGCATCATTACGCATTTCGAAAATGTGTCATTATGCCGTTTAGAATGCCTATAAGAATTAATCTAGTGTGTAGAAAAAAAAATTAAAAGGTGTTATAACACCTTTCGAAAAAAGGGTTATGAAAGCGTTGTTTCGCCTTTTCGATTTTTTTTTTAACAAAGATTGATTCTTATAGGCTCTCTTAAATATCAATTTTATCAATAATTAAATTAAAATACTCACAAATCTTTTTGTGAAGAACTTTGTCCATTTATATGATTAATAAAAAGATGATTCAAAGTAGATCAAAAATTAAAGTTTTTTTTTTTTTTTTTTTTTTTTTTTTTTTTTTTTTTTACAAAATAGATAAAAGGTTTGTAAAGTACATTAACTTTATATGCCGTCTAGCTTCACAAGATGCAATAAAATTGGAATTTATTTCTTCTTTAGAAGCAATGCTTTTGTTTGCCATTTTTCTAAAATGCCACCAAACTTAAAAATTAATACAAATCATAGAAACTATATAACAGATGATTTAGTTAAGGCATTTAAGAATGTGTTAACTTATTACTTATTACTAAGTCTCTATTTTTATAAAAGAACTTTCAATGTTTTCAAGACTTTATCAATCTTCATTAATTTGCAACAAGAATATATTTTAAACTCCAATTCTTTGCCGAAATAAATGTCAGTGGACGACAGGGGGAATCCAGTCTAAACAGGGACAACGACAGGTGACGACAGGGACTGGACAAGGAGATCAGAGAATGTCAGGGAACGACAGGGAGTGGACAGGGAAGGCAGGGACAACGACAGGGGACGAAAGGGACTGGATAGGGAGAGCAGGGACAACGACAGGGGTCGACAGGGACTGGACAGGAAGAGCAGGGACAACGACAGGGGATCATAGGAGAAAGTCAGGGAGAGACAGGAAAATGTCAGGGACTGCGAGAGGGGACAACAGGGGATTTTTTGAAATCGAAGTGGATATTTGGTATAGTTTGAAATTAATATGTAAATCAGAATTTTCTGACTAGAGTTTAAAAAAGATATATGAAGGGACAAATATTTTATTTCTGTTTGGTATAATTTCGAGAGCCTTAGCAATTACTTTACTTTAAACATATTTTATTGAGTATAATTCAATCAGGATTAGCAATTAGCCCTAGCAATTACAACGGCCAAATGAAACTGGCTCAGGGTTATAGGGTAAATATATCTCATAAATTGCGAATTAGCGATTTTCAGTGACATGTTTGCTTTTTTCTTAATTAGATGTGTACCTTTATCTCTATATATCGGGTCTGGGTTAAAATTATTTTCCCCGGGGAAGAGCTTGCCATAAAATTATGTTCACTTTATTGAGTAATATAAAAATTCTAAAGTTTGTGTAATGAGGAATATACATTTCCTGACCTAGGCAAATTTTATTTTAAATCAAACAAAGATCCGCTCTTGATTATATTACATGTTGCAGATCGGTCAAAGACTTCATTTTACTTAACTGTAGTAGTTCGATCCTGTTTGATAAAATTGATTCGAGTTCATTATTATTAAGGTCTTCCGTTTCCAACGGAAGACCTTCTACTGATTGTGAAGATTAAGATTATTCTTATTATTCTTTTTTTTTTCTTCCTAGACGCCAACTTTGAGGCCTCGTATCTCGCTCATTTTTTAATGGATTTTGTTCAAATTTTCAGACATTATAGACGGTAATAAACGCTATCAGAATGTTGTCAATAATTTCAAAAAGTCACTTCCGGTTTTGAGTTATTTCCCTTTAAACGAAAAATTATAGGCTTTCATTTCCAGACAAAGGCTCAGAGACCACTAGAGTTGGAGCAGAAATTTTACTGGTTTTAGATAACAGAAGGATTGAAGTTGTGCACATCGGTTTTTGTTTTTCGATTTCTCTATTCAAAAAGGCGCAATACAGGGGTCAAAAAATAGAACGCCTAAAAGAGCGAAAATTTACACATGTTTTCCTTTTTATCTTGAAAACTGAAAATATTTTGTTAAGACATGTTGAACAAAAGTTGTGCATAATTGCAAGGGCTTTCATTTAATACTATAGAAAAGGGGCTGGCCCCTAAAATAAGGGATCTCTGGAGCTTGAAAGTTTTTGCTTTATAACTCAAAAACGGTAAATATTTCGATCTAGATATATCGAGCAAAATTGTTCTTTAACACCCTTTTGATCTGATAGGAATGTTTATCTGTTCGAATATACGGGGGTTATTGCATAATATGCAGTCGAAAGCAGGTCAGGTAAACATGTAGCCTTTTCATTCGGCAAGTAAATCTGACCTCATCATGTATACAACTTGCTGTAAATAATATACCCTACGGTATTTTATGTTGATTTTCTTCAAAATAAGGTTTTAAACGTGTTTTATGATTAACTATTAAATCATGTATTACAACTACTTTTTCTATTTTTCTTTATAAAATTTAATTAGTTTTATAGTGAACACATCTTTAAAAGCGGAAGATATAAAATCTACCTTTCTATGTTTATCATTGTAACAAACTATATAATTAATCTTAAACTTTATACATTGAATAATTCACGATCATTAGTTGTATACATATTACGATCCCATTGTTCAGCGAGATGTTTTACAGTTATGTAATCAAAGCCACGCTATCGATCTAGGTCACGAGTGTACCAGGCACCTGTGGACATAAACAAAGCAAGTGTTTGTGATTGTATTAGACCATTGTGTAGAAAGACCTAACAATTAATAGAAAACTGTGTTTTTAATTACATCGCGATTCAATAAGATTATTTTACCCATCTTTCATATTAAATCGTAATTCCAAACACTGGTGCATAAAATCATTTTGAACTGTGTTCGCTTTCTTTGGCCTGTTCTCGCAAAATAAAAAAAATCTCTATTCTGTGTTAATGTATTTTATTTCAATTGTAATTGAGAAGGGGCTTCGGCAAATAATTATAATTAGTGATGGAAAGTGATAGGTAATATTGTATATGTACGTTTTATTTTTACCATGATCACTCTTTTGTTTCTCCATTTACCGGGGTATCATTTTTTAAAGATTAAATAAACATTGAACATAAAAAGTAATTTATAATATACTATTGTTCACGTATTTGTAATACCGGTATAGCAAACAGGTTATATTCAACTTTGTCTCTAAAGTTGTGTTGCCCGGTCCTCGTTTACAAGCACGTGGTTGCAGAGAACAGTGGGCATATTTGAAAATCCATTGTGTACTCCGATAGTTACAAATGGAAAATTGGGTTTAAAATATGTCGTTAATTCCATATCATTTCATTTCACTCTATTTCAGCTTGTTTAAATCAATCTTAATCGCTTGTACATTTATTCATTGTAAGTTTTATGTATTTTGATAGCCGAATAAACACTAGCTTGGTTTGCAACCCCCCCCCCCCCCTGTTTTTATCGAGGTGGATATTGTTTTATGAATATTAAACTTACATGTACGCATGCATGGTAGTTGTAAGTGGAGGTGACGTTTCTAATTCACGGGAAAACATCCAACGTTAAATTAAGCACTTTTGAGTATGCAGTTATTTGCTACTAAACTTTAAAATGTTATTGTACAAAAATAATATACTTTTTCGTTGAATAAACAGAATATCTCAACATTGCACGATTAATTTGACATGCTTGTACATGTTCAGTCGATGTCAGTATAAATACACATGGATGCACTTTTGCCTAGAATAACGGCCAAAATATATACATCCAGAGTTTAAGAGTACGATTTTTAAAAAAATTGAAAATTCGTTAATGCTATTTATCATTAACCAGTATCTCGACGATAAAACATCAATTTTAATTCTTTACCAAACGTCCTCCCGGTCAGTCATTGTTAATGTTGGTGACATGAAATGTAGATACTAGGGTCTCAGTAAATAATTTCACCTTAATTATCCTCATCGTCATTCGGTGTTTTCATCATTAGAAATAAATTGTTTGAGGACGTCTTTTTTTCTCTTCTCACATTGGTAACGCGTAGGAAAAAGTTTTTAAACAAAGCTAACGGCATTTTACAAAAAAGGAAAACGAGAAGAAAAAACGTGTCTATTTAGATTAAAAACACAACGCATCAATTTGTATTTGATTAATCCACATACGTTTTTTTTCCTTCTCCCATGCATTTCGACTATACGGAAAAAAAGGATCAGCAAATCCTTTGGTAATATTAAAAGAAAGGTGTTGTACCTTCAAAAGACACTATATCCCACAGGCCTTTAGATCGCTTAGAAAAAAAATTGTGTGTATTTTTTTCCAACACCTCAATTTTTTTTCTAAGCGATCTAAAGGCCTGTGCTATATCCGAACAGTTATTACAGAGACTACCAAATATATCACGGCGTCCCTGAAAGATTCATTTTTAGATATTTCAATAAATTCTAATTTAGTTCAAAGAAAGCCACGCTGTTGTATACAAACATTCCAAAAATAATATTTCATGTTTCACGGACCGACACGTGGTTAAATTTCCTCTCATCACTATAAGCCCCCCCCCCCCCCCTTTAACATGTTTAAAATGAATATATAATGTCTTCCTTCTGAGCCGAGAATGTTAGTTGGTTGATTTGTTTTTGTACATGCGTATATACATGTAGATTAAGGCTGGTGTTGAATTCCGAAAGAAAGTCACAACCTATTTTTTTTATGTAAACCAATAATCATTCTATACCCCGCCATGAATATGGCTTGGGATATAATGTTTGTCATGTCGGACGTCTTCCATCCTGCCTTATCTCCTTCCGTCACACTTTGCCTTTAGCTAAGTTCAAAGCTCAGTTTCAAACAAACTAACCAAGATATTTTTAAAAATAATCAAACTTGATACACAGTATAGCTGCAGAAAAAAATAACAGACAGGAGAGTTGCTGAGCCACCCACTGAAAAAACTGATCCTACTAAACAGAGTACGCTAGTACATATGTACGATAAAAGACTTTAGAGTAAGCTAGTAATAACTGTATATTTATTGCGGAAAAGTTTTTGAAATATTTCTTCAAACTGAAAGCCTTTTATTGCCTGACGTCACGCTAAGGATCAATAGGGTTCGAAGAGGTCACAGTTAGCCAGCAAAATTTTGTGCATGCTGATTATCATCGGATTTGTTACATGCATTTCAGCAACAACAGTTATCTATTCTGTTAGCAGAAAAATAAACATATTGCTAATACAATACATTGAAGTATTTATTTTCTCTAGCCTTTTGCTAGCATATATTAATTTCATGCGAGTTCTTATACGGATATATGTCCGTTTGACCTTTATACTACTGGATTAGTCCATTTGTCTTCTAGGTAAGGGGTGACGCTATTATTTCGCGCCAAAATGTCACGTGTAGGTTTTTGCACCCTTTTTCTGGACTATTCTATTGAATGATTTCAAATGAAAACTGCATGAATTTTGTAAAGTCTGTTCTTTTTTGTCAGAATCCTGGTCGAGCTTTGGAAAAAAAAACAAACAAACAATTCGGTGACATTGTGAAGTGAGTTAGAAGTTACATCATTTAAAGTAATAAAACATTTGATGTTGACCCCTCATCTCTGGGAAAAACTTCCTGAATCCGCACCATGGCATTCATATATCGCCGTCAAGTTTGTTGGGTCATTTAAAGCTTTAATTATTTTCCCCACGTTTCCAACAATCTTTGATACTTTGGCATACCCAAGAAACTATCAATCATATTCTACACGTCAGTCATAATTGTTAGATCCCCAATTTCTTGTAGTTATCATATTTTCAGCTGCCACCTTTATATGTAGCCATGCTTTCAAGCATTAATCAAATGTTTTTCCTTATTTACGTCATCCTCTAAAACCATTTTAGACTTGCGGACAGAGGTGTTCATCTTTTCGTCCCGGGTTCGAATCTACAGCGGGACATGATCATGATTTCATTTTTTATTTGAGATACAAACAGTATTATATATGGTTTATGTTTTGTGCAACATCTCCATAATTTACTCCAGTGAAATAATTTAACCCCCCCCCCCCCCCCCCAAATGTAAACGTTTATAGTTTATCATGCTCATAGATTCTATAGATATTGATGACATAGTCAGCCAAGCTTTTTAAAAAGCTGTTACTTGTGTTATTATTTGTTTATTTATTCGCGCAAAGGACATTGGGTAGTAAAGGAGCTCTGGGAATGTTGCACAACAAAATTTGCTTGACGTGTGTACAATTCCTAACTTCTTTTCTTACACGTTATTCTATTGAGCTCGCTGCACTCGATATTATACGGTTCTTGAAAATGAAAGAAACGTCGTAGTCTTTATGAAAAGTAACCAATTTTCTTGATTGTACAAACATTTTTAAAGAAATTAGGGGGGGGGGGGTTAAGTTATACAAAGAAAAAAAATAATATGTGTCATTTTAGATTACCGACGTGCAATGATCTGATACATGTGTACCGTATTTATGAGAGGTTCATATCTCTTCCCTTGTCTGAAAAGTGTCGCATCCATTGATATTTTCTTTTTTGCTACGATTTAATGCTTTAAAAATGATGTCTTTATTTAATTTGGTTATTTTCGATAGATAAATATCTGTCCCACCTGTCTGTGGGATGGGATAGTAAAGTGTCTGCCGTCCGTTCGTCTGTTCGTCTGTCTAGCTGTCTGTCTGTCTATTTTTCAAAATACTACTCTTCATACCGTTTTGGTCTGATTTCAATATAACTTGGCACACAAGTACACATCTCTAAGATACATAGTATAGTGCATCGGTTTTTGAATGCTTTAAAATGCGACGTCTTCAACAGTTTTTGTCTGAATTCAATATTGCTTGGCACATAAGTAGCCTTCACTAAGATACAAAATATCGTGCATCCGTTTTTGATTTCGATGAACGGTGTTGCCATGGTTACTAAAAATAGAAATTTCTGTATATAATTCCTTAAAAATGTTATTCCTCCTACAGTTTTAGTTTGATTTCAATATAACTGGACACACAAGTAGACTTCAATGTGATACATAATTAACTGCATCGTTTTTGATTTCGATGAACGGTGTTGTCATGATTACACAAAATAGAAATTTATGTGAAATTCCTTTAAAACGCTACTCCTTCTACAGTTTTGGTCTGATGGCAATGGCTAGTTTTCTCTTCCTTTGTTATAAGTACAAACAAGTAGAGCTATAGTCTCGACAATGTGTTGAACCCAGTGAATCATTTTGCCTCGATTATAGTCAGAAAAAAACTCATGGCTGAACATATCCAGTCATTTGGACGAGTCAAGATTAGTGACAGTGAAACTGTAAATTCGCTACCATTTTTCTATTAGTGAAACATTGCTGATATAATGCAGGGTGGGACGTGACCTTGACTCGAGTTCAAAGTCCCCAAGGATAAGATGTTTTTGGTTGGATGCATGGACAGAAAGAATATCTAAATAAAATGTTTGAAATTTTCCAGACGGTAACACATGGATAATATTTTTATAACGAGAGCTAGTTATTGCTTAGATCAAGGTCATTTGGAGAGTTCAAGGTCACTTGGAAAGTTCAAGGTCACATATATTCCTTTAAGGTCTTTTCCCTAGCTAAACATTGCAAGTTGCTTCTCTTAAAAGGTTTAAATTTTCACTCGTAGAACTTTAGAATGTGGCTTGACCTAGACTCAAGGTTACGTCTTCTTATCCGTAGCTCCAACGGAAGACCTATTCGTTGCTTTGCAACGAGCTCGGCTCTAGTTATTAAATATTATGCATTATTAAAGTGGGAAAATTTTTGTTCAGTGCTTCACAACGAAGAAATCGTTTGTAGCATATTATATGTGTGTAAACATTTATTTTTAACTGAAATATTTGAATTATATGTATACATATGCACATGGCACATCAGACAATTACATGTACATGTATTATAAACAAGGTATACATATAATTCAAATATTTCAGTTAAAAATAAATGTTTACACACATATAATATGCTACAAACGATTTCTTCGTTGTGAAGCACTGAACAAAAAGTGGGGGGCTCAACTCCAGAATTTCTTTGACAAGCCAAAAAAAAAAAAATCCTATTTCGTGGGGGGCGGGGGGGGGGGGGTAGTGGCCAACTTTTTCCTTTTCCTTTTTAAACTAGGTTTATCGACTGTAAATTATAGTTTACAAACCGTTAACTATAGTTAACGATTCGTTTACTATAGTTTTCATTTGTAAAACTATATTTAACGGTTGTTAACTATAGTTTACGAATGATAATCTAAGTTTATCTCTTTGTAATAAAAAGTTAACATATTTTGTTGATAAACATAGATTTACGTCTGTAAACTATAATTTACAATCGTAAACTATAGTTAAGATTTGTTAAACATAGTTTCACAAATCAAAACTATATTTATCAGTTAACAGTTAACTATGGCACGCCAAATTCACAAAAATGAGCTTAACCTAGTTTCATAATTGATAAACTAGGTTTATTGACTGTAAACTATAGTTTACAAATCGTAAACTATAGTTAACGGTTCGTTAAGTATAGTTTTCATCTGTAAAACTATATTTAACGGTTGTTAACTATAGTTTACGAATGATAATCTAAGTTTATCTGTCTGTAATAAGCGTTAACAATAGATTTTGTTGATAAACATAGATTCACGTTTGTAAACTACAGTTTACAATCGTAAACTATAGATAAGAGTTGTTAATCATAGTTTCACAAATCGTGAAACTATATTTATCAGATCATTAACTATAGTTAACAGTTTGTAAACTATAGTTTACAAATCGTGAAACTGTATTTATCAGATAATATATGTTTTGCAATCGCAAATGATAGTTTTCGGTGTTAAGTATAGTATACGTATGTGAAACATAGATTATCGCGTTAACTATAGTTTACAGATGTAAAATATAGATTAACGTTGTTAACTATAGTTTACAGTCCGTAAACTATAGTTTACAACCGCTAAACCTAGTTTATCGATTGTGAAACTATGATTAGCTCAGTTTTTGTGAATTTGGCGTGCCATACATATGGCATAAGAAAAAAAAATTAAGAATTGGATGATCTTGATCCGTGGCTATATAAATATGCCGGTCACTTATCCTATAATTTTCATGATCCGCTCCTTTATTATTTTCATGTCATAGCTAGATTTTACATGCAGTACTTAAATATTGTCATGATCATATTCCGTATTATTTTTATGTCATATCTAGCTTTTACATGTAGTACTGATCCGGCCAGGGATATGTCTCAGATTTTGTTATTTATACCGGGATGTTTTGATCCGCCCATGTATTTATAGCTGACGTAATCACTGCAGACAGACTGCACAATTCACGGCAAAAATCGATACCTGTCGACTTAATTAATGTGGTCTGCTGCAGCACAGCTCTGTTAGGTATTTTAAATTTATTTTCATCGACTTTTCCTCCTTTTTGCGGAATTTTAGAATTCATAGTTAAGGTTGAAGAAAATGGGAATTTTCTACAGCTAGGGGTCGTAGTCTAAAATTATAAGAAAATAAGAAATCTTAACTTTTTATTCTATCCATTTAAAACCTCTTATTCCCAGGAATCGGAAAAAATTCCATGTACAGTCCGTATTTTTCTGTTATAGTAGTTTTTGATAGATGTTAGATCATTGCAGCGGGTTTATTGGTTAAAATATGTTAATAAATCTGCTCATATTTATGATGGGCTTTTCATTCAAAAAAACTCATAATCATCATTCATCAAATTGATTGCTTCCCTCAAATTCTGAACAAGGTTTGTTTGGACATAAAATGCATTTGATAACCTAGGTGTTTCTAACTGATGTATATAAATATATTTTACTTACGTTATGTAATCTTCTCAGCTGATGGAATGCAGTCGAGACAATCTGCCGCAGAACAGAGAACGCATGCGCTGGTTTTGTGTATTGATTGCGCGTGCACGTCTGCTTAAAAAAATAAAAAGTATCAGAAAAAACGCCTCAGTTTCATTTTCTCTTAAATCACCGAAGTATTAATGTACTGAAACACTTTTAATGAACAATCAGTCACTCGAGTTTTTAATTGAAACTGACTTTGAAATAGATAGATATGACACTTAAGTTCTTAAACAGCTACGTCTTTTTCCTTCATATCCAGAGAGAAATATTTTACTTGAAATTATAAGATTTGACTGAAACATAATTTCCCACATTTTCTAGATGAAATCTGAGACACACACACATATCCACCATTTTTTCCATCTTAGCAATGCAGAGAAAATGAACCAAAATACGAAAGAAGAACAAATGAATACGTAGGGATATATAAGGTATACAGATGCATACATGTAAGAATTAAGAGAGAGAGAGAGAGAGAGAGAGAGAGCAGGCACGTAGCATCGTTTTTGAAAGGGGGGGGGGCAACCAGAGAAATTTTTTTTTTACTTTTTACTTACCTGAAAAAAGTTGACAAGCAAAAAAACAAAAACAAAAATACAAAAATCTATTTAGTAGGGGGGGGGGGGGGGGGGGGGGGGGTAGTGGCCAACTTTTTCAAAGCCAAGTTACTTTCACTTCCAATTTCTTCCCTACATTTCCTTGATATCAATATACTATGGTATAAAGTAGGGGGGGGGGGACAACCATCCTTCCAATGAACAATTACGTGTACTATAGTAAAGGTAATTTTGGGGAAAAAAGTGGGGGGAGGGGCAGCCCCCCCCCCTGTTGCTACGTCCCTGGAGAGAGAGAGAGAGAGAGAGAGAGAGAGAGAGAGAGAGAGGGGATATTGTTGTAGAAGATGCGAATGGTTACGCTGCATCAAGGGGGGTGTCCCGCCACCTTTAGTGCAGTTTTTCAAAGCCAAGTTACTTTCACTTCCAATTTCTTCCCTACATTTCCTTGATATCAATATACTATGGTATAAAGTGGGGGGGGGGGGGGACAACCATCCTTCCAATGAACAATTACATGTACTATAGTAAAGGTAATTTTGGGAAAAAAAGTGGGGGGGGGGGCAGCCCCCCCCCCCCCTGTTGCTACGTCCCTGGAGAGAGAGAGAGAGAGAGAGAGGGATATTGTTGTAGAAGATGCGAATGGTTACGCTGCATTAAGGGGGATGTCCCGCCACCTTTAGTGCAGTGAGAACAAAATGTAAACATTTCTTCATATGGCTAAAATACATTATATTTTGATCAAATTTTAAGTCCCTATGATAAAAATACATTAAATATGCATAACTGAATGCATTTTGTGTATATATAATCTATACTTTGGCAGAAAAATGTTTTTGATATGCTCCTTAGAACTGCGCAGCTACAGAATTCAGCAGAGCCTTAAAAAATCCAAAAAAATATGTAAACTGTGCATTAATGTTTTCTCTACAACCATTGAGAAAATGTGTAAATTTTGCACTTTTAAATGATAATTTCAAGTTCTAAACAAGGTACCGTCGTCTTCAAAAAGAGTTAAAGAACCATGAAAGTAGTTCATGGATAGCAGCACGTGGTCTATCTTTAGCACAGAATTTTGTTTTCTAGACCTCCTCTTAATATGGAGGGACATAATAATCTTTAAATGTAGAAGAGAATTACAGTTGCAAAATATTTCAAATAATATGAACACTTTTAAAAGAGGAAAGGTGTTATAGTGTGGTTTGAAGTAATTTATTTAGTATTATTATCGAACAGTTGTTAAAAAGTGTACGTATTTATATAAAAAAATCTTAAACTCTTTGATTCCAGGTAAGGAAAAATGAGCACCATCAAAGTTAAAAATTAAGAGTTTGTACGTTTGCCACAGATATCAAAATTTTAATTATCACTAATTAAACACAAAGATATTAGACACATAAAATCGATATGAATGACCTACTAGTACGAGGGGTGATCAAAAAGTTCCCGAACTATCTCTATATCTACAAAACCATAATTCAGATTAGAAACATAGCCAAACACAAGTTCTATAAATAGCATATGCTGAAGTTTTGCTCCTTGTTTGTGAAGTCACAATCTGAAAACGACGTCATTATGCAGGTACTTGTCAGTGGCGGATCCAGAAATTTTGAAAAAGGGGGGGGGGCGACCAGTTTCAGGTCAGGGTAGGGGGCCACAGCCACACCAGAAAACGTTGATTTATTAAATATTGTTTAATTTTGGGGACACAAAAAATCCCCTCTAAATCCGCCAGTGCTTGTGACGAAAAATGGTTGGCTCAGTGGAACTCTATAATATTTATGGTATATCTTAGAAATGTCTTTGAAGTAGCGTATAAGTATTTGTTCACAGTTTATTAAGACAAATGACTTCCTACAATTTCAATCAATGATTGGATAGATCGTTTTAGTGAAGGAAGGCAGGTGGTTAAATATGAAACTTGTTATGTTGCCCGGTGAAAACAAGTTTGAAAAGGGATGTGTTTTCAATTAAGCAAGTTGCTATCAACGACCTCCAATATACACTTTGAAAAACACTGGAATATTTCAACAATAATATAACTATCAAATACCTAAGATATCGTTTACTTTTTTATCAACCCTCGTATACTGTGTCAAATAAACATGCATTTACAATTTTCATTACAGCGGAGCAACATTTGAAATGGGTTAGGAGAATTAATGAATAAAAAAACTTTTTTTCTATTTGCCCATATTTTCAAAATTACAATTTTACAAAGTAAAGAAAAAAATCAACATAATTAAATATTTTATACCATCTTTAAAATGACGTTTGGTGGTCCTCCCAACTCCGGGAAAAATTATTAGGTCCGTATTTATATAGGTGAGAAAAAAATTCCGTAAAATTTAAACATGATTGTTGACGGAAGAAAAAGGAAAAAAATATCGTGTAATGGGATGTAAAAAAAAAATGAGTCGGGCCATTTCTAGGCAGTAGATCGGGAGAGAGGGCAAGCAAATATTTTTATAACAAGTGGTCTTATAAGGCTAGTACATGTTCCATCACATACTTAGTAATGCAAAATTTTTTAATCTTTTGCACTTTATTGAAAAACAAAAATAGGATTTTCGGGGGGGGGGGGGGGGGGGGGTAGCCTCTCACTTTTTTGCGATGATAGACATAGCATATGCAATGGACCTTTCTTTGCAAACATTGTACTCGCTTCTAAATTTCAAAGAAACAACTCAATATATTTTATCAAACTTCGTATGTTCAATGAGCGAGAGCTTACAACGTTGTCAACATAATGAGACATGATGCGTTTTTATGTCCAAGCATTACTCCATACAATGTGTGGGTCATTGCAAACAATCTAGCTATTTATGTGAGGTGCCTGAAGGAAATCCTACAACTGCGTATTTTTTCTATCTAACTTCTAAACAAAATAGACATATGTACCAAATTTTTGAATGTAAGACATGTAATTATAATTTGTTTTTCATGCCCCGCATACTGTTTAACATTTTCAAATTAAATGCTAAGCATCCTCCTTGCAGTGCCCCATTTGAAAATAACTTCTATCGTCACAGAAAATAGACCCGCCGTAAACACATATGTTTAGGGCATTTTTATTTTTTTTCTTGAGTTTTAAAGAAACCAACAAATTATCAAGACTTGTTCCATGAAAAATTAAATATAATCATGGTCATAAACGGATCTATCCACAGCAGATATATGCACATGCCAACCACGTGCTCAGTGGAATAAATATTAACGAGGAAACTCGAGCTGTAAACAGAACAGTTTTTCCCGATTTGCTGAAGTTGGGTTAAAATCGCGTTTTTTCAATAATCAGATAATGCGATGCAACAAATAAAAGTAGTAAGTAATATAACCTAATGATTATTACTTAGTAATTTCTTGTCTTGATATTATTATGGTCGCATTTATTCTAAAACCAATGTTATTCGAACTCTGTGTGACAGAGGAATGGCGGACGAAATAAACACATGGCCCCAGGAAGACACCCATATGAAAAATCAAATTTTCAAGAATTATGGATAATGACAAGAAAAAAGCGAAACAAATGGTTGTAGCCATATAATCAATGAATCAAACTAACACCATTTTCAATGCATTTATCATCTCGTGAATGCTGTAGCTGCGCAGTTCTAACATGATTAATTTCCTCCTAATTAAAACAAAATAAACTTAATTGTTTACTAATTTTGGTCTCCAACAGTAGGCAATTAGTGTACTAGCACTTTGAGTAACTTTGGGCTAGTTTAGTAGAGTATCAAGCACATTCTCGGTATTTCTTATTTTACAAGTAGTCAAGGCCGTACGTATAGGTAAAAATTTCCCGCCAAATTTGGTATAACATAGGGTAGAGCAGGGGTCGGGAAAGTGATGTCCCCCTGGGGATATACGGGTAACTATAATGAGGGGTCCCTTGCATTAATTTGTTAACCCCCGGGAATTCTTCGGGGTGCAATCAATCCCCGCCATTTACACATAGTGGACAATTTCAGGTATAGTTTTGGGGGGTTAAAGTCTACTGATATCACACAGACCTAAACACTGTTAAAGGTGACTAAGTGTATCAGGTGGGATACTCGAGTACCATTACATGGGGCATTGGGTGGGGTTAACTCCGGTGTATAACAGTTAGGGTCAGTCCACAAGTATAAGTGATTTCCCACCAAATGCCGTAACATAATATGTGCGATCTTTAAGATAGTTATAGAGATTCTCTTGTAACAATTAGCACGATATGTCCGCTAATGTAAACGTACAAATAATTGGAAAATTCTTCTTGCCATTCCAGCGGAGCTAATGACAGTAACAGTCACAATTTCTTGTTTTAAAACTCCGACATGACGTTCATTGTCAATGCTTTATTTTTTTCAAGGTGATATTTGTAAATAAATCTTTTAAAAACGTTTTATGGATTTCATAATCAATAA